CGTATCCGCGCACAGGTCACGGTCGAGGGACGACCACTCACCGCCACCTTGGATACGGGGGCCTCGCATAGCTTTATAAGCGAGCGCCTGGCAAGGGCACTCCACGACGGGAAGAACCATCGTGCCGTGCGAACGCGGGTGAAGTTAGCAGACGGAACCGGCAGGGAGCTCACGCAGGCCCTGCGAATCACGATCCAGCTGGGAAAGGCTCGGGTCAGCGTCTCCGCCCTCATCATGGCGGATGTGCTGGACGACCTTCTACTCGGGATGGATTTCCTGTGTTACGGAGGAGCCACACTACAGTGTGGGGGCTTGACCCTCCAACTCGAGCCACCCATTCCTGACCAACCCACGAGGACCAGCTCGCCGACACCAACCGGGAGCAAACAAGCCGCTCCACGAGCGCACATCGAAGCCGCCACCCAGGCGCACTCACCGGCCGCCGCAACACAGGCGCAGCCCCAAGCCGCCACCCAGGCGCACCCCGAAGCCGCCATCCAGGCGCAAACACAAGCCGCCCCACGGGCGCACAAACGTGCCGCCACGCCGGCGTACACACCCGGCACCCAGGCGCACATCGAAGCCGCCACGCAGGCGCATTCCTCAGCCGCCACCCAGGCGCAAACACAAGCCGCCCCACGGGCGCACAAACGTGCCACCACGCCGGCGCATACACCCGGCATCCAGGTGCACTCCAAAGCCGCCACACAGGCGCACATCGAAGCCGCCACCCAGGCGCACTCCAAAGCCGCTCCACGAGCGCAAAAACAAGCCGCCACTCAGGCGCAGGTTCAAGCCGCTCCACGAGCGCAAAAACAAGCCGCCACACAGGTGCACCCCGAAGCCGCCACCCAGGCGCACTCCAAAGCCGCTCCACGAGCGCACATCGACGCCGCCACACGGGCGCACTCCAAAGCCGCCACACGGGCGCACACCGAAGCCGCCACCAAGGCGCAAACACAAGCCGCCACACGGGCGCACACTGAAGCCGCCACACGGGCGCAACCCCAAGCCGCCACACGGGCGCAAACACCAGCCGCCCCACGGGCACACGCATCAGCCGTCGCAACGCAGGCGCACCCCTCAGCCGCCACGCAGGCGCAAACTCAAGCCGCCACACCGGCGCAAACACAAGCCGCCCCACGGACGACGGCACAAGCCGCCACACAGGCGCACCCTCGGGCAGACTCATCAGCCACCCAGGGGCACTCACCGCAACGCCCTGACGCGCCACGCAGCGCCAGGCACCCCAACGTGCGCACGGTCCCAAGCTGGGCCGGAGCGCTACCTCCGCCTGATCCAGTAGCGGTTCAGCGAAACCCATTTCGCAAAGGGGCCAAGAGGGTCCGCTTCAGCGATTTGGAACCACCACCTCCATCCTGCGGTATCGCTGACGCTGACTACGACATCGAGGAGGAACCGAGAGCCAGAGGCCACGAGGACAACTACCCGGAGCCCTGGATCAGGGAGTTTCTCGAACGAAAACTGTCCCGCTTCAACAGCATCGCCAACGTCTCCCACATCGCCGAGCACAAGATCGTGATGCGCCACGATCGCCCTATTAAGCAACGCTATCATCCACGGAATCCCGCGATGAGGGCCGTCATCGACCAACAGATCGACGAGCTTATCCGCGATGGACGCATAGAGCCTTCCAAGAGCCCCCATAGCGCGCCGATAGTCATCGCGGCAAAGAAGAATGGAGAGGCCAGGATGTGCATCGACTACAGACAGCTAAACGAGAACTCGATCCCCGACGCTTATCCGCTGCCGCGGATCCACCACATCTTGGAGCGGCTGCGAAACGCCCGCTATATATCGACGTTGGACCTGAAGAACGGGTACTGGCAGATCCCAGTCGCCCCGGACAGCCGCGAATGCACCGCATTCACCGTCCCGGGCCGCGGACTATTTCACTGGAAGGTGATGCCTTTCGGGCTTCACTCGGCGCCGGCCACATTCCAACGGGCGCTGGACACCGTCATCGGCCCCGACATGGAACCACACGCTTTCGCCTACTTGGACGACATCATCGTCGTCGGCGCCACTCTCTCCGAGCACGTGCGGAATCTACGCGAGGTATTTCGACGGCTTCGAGAGGCCAATCTCCGCCTCAACCGAGACAAGTGCCAGTTTTTCCAGCGGAGCATAAAATATCTTGGCCATGTAATCAGCGAGGCCGGGATACAGACCGACCCCGACAAGGTCGCTGCCATCCGGGAACTGACCCCACCCACGAACCTGAAGGAGCTTCGCCGATGCCTCGGCATAGCGTCTTGGTACAGACGCTTTGTGCCAAACTTCGCGGACGTGGTCGAACCAATGACCTCGCTACTCAAGAAGGATCAAAGCTGGGGATGGACCGAGAAGCAGAAACAGGCGTTCCAGAAGTTGAAGGACCTGCTCACAGAGGCACCAATTCTGGCGTGCCCAGATTTCGAAGAGAAATTTGTACTCCAAACCGACGCAAGCGAATACGGCGTGGGAGCCGTACTCACCCAGACTATCGACCAACAGGAGCGCGTAATCGCTTACGCTAGCCGCCGGCTAAACACCGCCGAGCGCAACTATTCTGTTACGGAAAAGGAATGCCTCGCTATAGTATGGGCCATCCGTAAGATGCGCTGCTATCTCGAAGGATACCGTTTCGAGGTGCTGACCGACCACCACTCGCTAAAGTGGTTGAACTCCATCGACAACCCCACGGGCAGGATCGCTCGGTGGGCATTGGAGTTGCAGCAGTTCCAGTATGACGTGACATACCGACGCGGAACCCAGAATCTGGTCGCGGATGCACTATCGCGCCAGCCACTGGCCACCATGCAGCAGGCACAAGTTCAGGACATCAACTGTAAGTGGATCACGAAAATGCTACACAGGACCCGACAGGAGCCGGCCAAGTATCCAGACTTTCGAGAGGAGAACGGGCAACTTTACAGACGCATCGGGCTGCGCCCGGAGGATGAGGAATACACCCCCTGGAAACTATGCGTGGGCACTAACGACCGCGCAAGAGTGCTGACGGAATGCCACGACCACCCCACCGCAGGCCACCTGGGCGTGCGGAAGACAAGCACACGAGTCGCCCAGAAGTACTACTGGCCCGGATTATTTCGAGAAGTGGCCAAATACGTACGCCGATGCACAAGCTGTCAGAAGTTTAAGGTAAGCCAAGAAAAACCGGCCGGGAAAATGTTCACCCGCCAGGTCGACGAACCTTTCCACATACTATGTGCGGACTTCGTTGGACCCCTCCCACGATCCAAGCTAGGGAACACAGTCCTATTGGTGTTCCTCGACTCATTCAGCAAGTGGGTGGAACTCGTCCCACTGCGACGAGCCACGGTACCATATCTCGAACGAGCGTTTAGAGAACGGATCCTGAGTCGATTCGGAGTCCCGAAGACTCTGGTCTGTGACAACGGAACTCAGTTCACCAGCCGGGATTTCCGGACATTTTGCAAATCACTAGGAATGGAACTGCAGTATACTGCGCCCTACACGCCCCGTCAAAATCCTACGGAGAGGGCCAACAGGACCGTGAAAACCATGATCGCGCAATACCTGGGCGACGCGCCGCAGAACACCTGGGATCAACTCCTGCCAGAAATCTCGCTGGCCGTCAACGGTAGCGTGTCGGACACAACGGGATTCAGCCCCGCCTTTCTGGTACAAGGCCGGGAACCACGCCTACCCAATGCACTTTACGACGAAGTCACCCCGGGACGAGGAACCGCCCTGATTCCCCCAGCGGAGAGGAGCGAGCAGCTGCACAGCATATTTAAAGTGGCCCGCGACAACGCCGAACGTGCCACGGCCGAGCAAGGCCGGCACTACAATTTACGACGACGGGAGTGGAAGCCACCATTGGGCTCCCTCGTTCTCGCCCGCCATCATGTGCTATCAAACGCCGCCGAGGGCTTCGCGGCCAAACTGGCTGCGAAATATGAAGGCCCGTTCCGAGTGATCAAGTTCCTCTCGCCGAACATCGTCCGGCTGCAAGATATCGGGAGCCGCCGTCGCCGCACGGCCAGCATAAACAACCTAAAAGCATATCACCAAAGCAACGCGGACGACGACGAACATCAGAACGAGGATAGCCTCAGCATCACCGCAGCCCATGACGACCACGACGACCACGACGCCCGTGATCAGTCCAGAAGCCTCCACTCTGGCATCGGCTCTGATCCTAAGGAGCTATAGGAGCGCAGGAGCTTAGGATAGGCGCCACCCTCAAGCAGGCTAAAAGAGGGGTGGACTCTACTAATACGTTTGTTTATTTTCATAGATCCCAAATATTCGTTATTGGAATTGCCAGATCGACCGAAAAGCAACTTCGATACGTACGGGCAGCGCGCTATCGGATATCGATAAAGATAGCGCGATCTTCGCTCTGCAGACCCACGCGTTCAAACCTACAAATTGTGAGACGCAAAAGCTAAAAACATGCCGAGAGATAGGAACACGAATTCGCAGCGCCGCCATTCGCGCCATTCAGAGGACGAACCACGTCGCCGCCATCGCCACCATCGCCACCGCCGCGATCGCCCGGCTAATCAGGACCCAGGTGAGCGCCCAAACACCGCGGCTTCCGCCACGACGATGCCCGCATTAGAGGGACTGCACCTGGCAGCCAACGCCACCAGCCCCAGGCGCAACTCGCGGCCACCGACGCCGACAAGCACGGTCGCCGCCGACACGGGGCGCCCACCGCGTCCGCCATCGGCCGCGCCCGATGCCACCGGATCCACCCCACCAGCGACCACCGCCGACAGCGACGCCCAGCCGTCGCCCGCGATCAGCCCCACATGGTGCGAAGGGCTGACCTACGAGGACGTGGTGGCCTCTATTTTTGAGGCAGAAGAAGAGCCGGACCCAGCCATCCCCTCGGTCCCCGCCTCGCCGACCCCCGTGGGCCGCTGGGCGCAATTTATGAGGAGGTCTCCGATGCTGAGGTGGTGACTCTCAGCTCGGACGACGACGAGCCACGGGGCGCGGCGATGGACACAGTTGTCCTTCTCGACGAGGAGGAGACCGTGCCGTGGGTACCGCCCCATCGAGAAACACCACCGCCCTCATACGAGGAGCTTTTCGGGCCGGGCCCGTACCCGGAGCCCGACCCTCCAGCATCAGCCGGGGTCAGCACCGCTGCCACCATGGCGGTGCGGGCCACCGGCGCCGCTGCCACGGGCACACCCAGGCCCGCACCCAGTGCCACCGACGCCAAGGAGCAGGCCACGCCCACGCTCACCGCCGCCGACGACACCGCCGACGCGGCAACCGTCCGGGCAGGAGCCAGCACCCCCACGGGGGATGACTTGCTCGCGCTCCTGCTGGGGAAGCTGGCCGCGTCCCCCGACGGACCCACCACGTCCGCCGCATCCCAGCAGCGGGAGGCAGTCCGGGCCGCGGTCCGAACAATAATGGCCACGATCCCCACGGCGGAAGCCACTGCTCAACCCGACGCAGCCGCTGGATCGACCGCCGGCATCCCACCGGCCGCCACTGCTCAATCCGACGCAGCCGCCGGATCGGCCGCCGGCATCCCACCGGCCGCCACTGCTCCACCCGACGCAGCCGCCGGATCGGCCGCCGGCATCCCACCGGCCGCCACTGCTCAATCCGACGCAGCCGCCGGATCGGCCGCCGGCATCCCGCCGGCCGCCACTGTTCAACCCGACGCAGCCGCCGGATCGGCCGCCGGCATCCCGCCGGCCGCCATGGCTCAACTAGACGCCGCCACCCAAGCGGCCGCCCAACCGGACGCCGCCGCCACGGCGCGCGCCCCGACGCCGCCTGACGGCACCGCGGCCACTGCAGCCGTAGCGCCGTGCCGCCTGCCGTCCAGGCCCGTGCGGCGGGTGAGGCCTATGCCGGCCACCGACCAGCAGCGCTGGCGTGGCCGCCAGCCTTTGGCCAACCCCGAAGGCGAACCAGTCGGCCGCCCAGGCATCCTCCGCCGACCGGCCCCATGGCCCATGGAGGAGGCCAGTACTGACGAGGAATTAGGAGAGGACGCCGAGGAAGACGAGGAGGACGCCGACTCGGAGGAGGAGCTTCCCCCGGTGGATCCCCTGCCTCCAAACGCCCAGGTCCGCGCCCTCGACGGATGGGTTACCGAAGACGGGTGGGTACCCATCGCCCTCCTGCGTAGTATAGACGGGCATCTGCGCCAGCCGAGACGCCGGGAGGTGCGCTACCTGGAGGAGGTAGCCGGCATCCGCTATCGCATCCAGATCTCGACCAGCGGCCGGGTAAAGGTCTTCCCGCACCCCCGAGGAAGGGATGGGGTGTGAGGTAACCCTCACAAGGGCCCCCCCCTCCCCCTCATGTACATAGTAGTTAGGCGTAATTTATAAGGTAGAGTATAAGGTAGAACTATAAGGTTTAGGGTAAGGACGACCAAGACCCACGGAGGGCACCCCTTTTGTAATATTAAGGCCCATGAAGGGCATCCCGCTTTCCCTCAGTTAGACCCCGAGGGGACAATCACTTTTGAGTTGGGGTGTGGTGCGCCCCAGTACGGGCCACATCCCCGGCCACGCCGAGGATCACATCATCAACACGCAAAACCACATCAGCAACACGCAAAACCACATTCAGCAACACGCGCATCAGCAACACGCACATCAGCAACACGCACATCAGCAACACGCACATCAGCAACACGCACATCAGCAACATCCACGTCAGCAACATCCACGTCAGCAACATCCACGTCAGCAACATCCACAACCACGCCAGCAACATCTCCATCTCTCCAAACTTGAGCCCTCGGCAGAACCGACGGCCGGGTCCGGAGAGACACGGAAAAGAAGAGGAACGCACGATCGCGTAAGAGACGCGGGTGCGGGAGGCGGCAGACGAAAGAGGACGCCTATAGCCTGCACGAAAGCAGCGTAAGGGCCGCTGCCGCAGTCGACGGCAGCAGCGAGGGCTTCGAGCAGCCTTCGCTGTTCGCCGATCGTGGAGTTAGATTTTGACCATCGGAGTGAACGGAGTTAGTTTTTGACCATCAGAGTGGACGGTTGGATTTTGGCAAGCAGAGTGAACGGACGTGAGTGGATGGCGACAAGGATAAAAGGACACGTGGACATGGAGTCCCTCCGATAAGACGGGTGAGCCGGCCGCGGGCCAGCCCTACGGGGTGGCCAGCACGTGCGCAGGGAACTAGGGACCCTCAGGCATTAAGGAATTATGAATAAAGTTGTAAGAAAACCACAATTAACCATAGTCTTCTCTCTCCCAAGTCCTCCTTCCCCTTTCCCCTCCATACCTATGAGCACCGGCCGTCGGGTGACGGGGCCGGCATGCTGACTCCCGGGTGACGGGAGCAGCCGCTCAAATCCCGTATCTAGGAGCACCGGCCGTCGGGTGACGGGGCCGGCATGCTGACCCCCGGGTGACGGGGGCAGCCGCTCATAACCTGTACTGAGGAGCACCGATCCACGGATGACGGGATCGGTCGCTCAAAACCCCCCTCCCTCGTAGTTCGAGCACCGGCCGTCGGGTGACGGGGCCGGCATACTGATCCACGGGTGACGGGATCAGTCGCTCACTACATCCTTTCCTTGAGCACCAGCACCCGGGTGACGGGGCTGGCAAGTCGACTCCCGGGTGACGGGATCGACGGCTCGTAACCCTCCGCCCCCTAACAGGGCTCCGGCACCCGGTTGACGGGGCCGGATAAGCCGATCCACGGGTGACGGGATCGGTCGCCCTGGGCCTGCCCTGGTCCGCCGGCCGCCCGGGTGACGGGCCGACGGCATAACCACGGCACGCAACCCAAACTTTCCCCCCTCAAACCCACGCCCAATTAGGGAACCCGCCTCCTTGTCCTGTCTGTCTCCGTAAATATAAATTATTTCTGTAGGGGACCCTGGATAGACTGAGTATTTATCCTGGCCCGTGATTAGCATCCTTACAACCTTAAGTGAAATGCTTTAATATTTTTACAATTTTTCTTTTGTTCAAAATTTGAATTTATGTAAATTTTTCGCTATTTGTATATGTAGATCTAGTTGGGTTTTACTGGGTTTCCCCAACTCTTTGCAGCGAATGCTGGATCTAATTGTAATCCCCAGAAATTAAGAAAGAAACAAGAAATTAAAAGATAAGCACAATCTCGTATGTCAAATTTTTGTTTTTTGCTCAATGTAACTTTTGAGGTGGCGTGTTGTAAAATATGAATATACATATATAAGGAAAAGTCACATTGATGCACATGCATTCATTTGATGCTTGTATGTGTGAGTGCGATGAAGGAGCCCTGCAGTTCTGGCTGTTCACAAGTGAATTTCGGCAATTGCCAATCATGTGTGTAGGAAAGGGAAACGGATATTCCTAAGTTTCCCTCTCTTCCTCACTCTTATAATACGATTTCGTTACTTGCACCCGACGGCGACCCGACTCCAAATTTGCCTTCTATTCTTTCGTTTTTCTTATTGCACTGTTGTCATTCTCCGTTAGAAACAAAAAATTATGTGGATGTGATGTGGATACATATAATATAACTCCCGTGTCATTTATGGTCGGTTATATCTAAAAAGAAGGGTATACTAAAAGGATGAAAAATAAAATTGAGCTGCGTCATTCTTTTGCGTAGTGCGTTGACAATATGTTGTCAAATTTCTTAATTTGTGCAACGGGAAGCGGAAATGTTTAAAAATCATGTAAGTGTCGTTAATATTACAAAAATATTATGTTTTTTACTACAAACTTATTTAAATCTTTTTAGGATTAAGCCATACACATGTATGTCCGATAAATTCGTTTGAAAGGTAAGTTTGCGCTAAATTAAAAAATTAAATATGTAATAACGAAAATATTTTTTGTACCATAGATGGACGCAAAACAGCCGATTTTCTGCAAATACTCCACATAAATGATAAACAAAAACTTTCGAATTTAATATTTTTAATGTGCTTATCTCTTATGTTCAAAAATAAGATATTTTATAAAATAAAAAAAAAAAATATATATATATATTGTTTTTCATATGAATTTGGGGATGAAATTTTGAACATTGGCATATATGATTTCCCTAAGGGCGATCCTTGAGGAAAACCCCGCTTCCACTTCCGCTTCGAATTCCTCTATGCCTTATACGAATTTTTTCCATACAAAATTCGTATAAGGCACCGAGGAATCGTTCGATGAAACGGCCAAAAAGTTCATCGAGAGCTGCACCTATGAAGAAAACTTGAATCCCATACAAAATTCCTCGCGCAATTCCTCGGTGCGGGCATACCTTCGTACCCCGGTTCCTTGGTGCTTCCTCGCGGATTTCATATAGGAAAAAGCTATTTTGGAACTGCAGGGAGGAGATCGCAAGAAGTAACGGAATCTTCTTGCGCTTTTCCTTCTACACTTTGGGCATTTGCTTGTACACGCGAACACGACGCTTTACTTCTTCTTTGACAACGAGTGCGTGCGGTTTAACATTAAAAAGTGTCTGCTTATTTTATCTTGTTGCGGGTTTGGATAATACTTTATTGTATTATACTTTTTAATAAATACAATAAAACCAATAATGCAGCTAGATAGATATTTTAATAACAAATTCAGAGAGGTATTCCACTTTTAAATCGGGTAAAAATTTCAAAAGTTTGGGCTAAGCAGTGCTGGGATCTGGTCACTTTTCTGCAAACCCATTTTTTGCAAATTTTGACAGGTCGGGGGTCATAAAAAATGACGAAACATTGACCAAAAATTCGAAAATAAACCAATGATGTAGCTAGATAGATATTTTAATAACAAATTCAGAGAGGTATTCCACTTTTAAATCGGGTAAAAATTTCAAAAGTTATGGGCTAAGCAGTGCTGGGATCTGGTCACTTTTCTGGAAACCCTTTTTTTGCAAATTTTGACAGGTCGGGGGTCACAAAACATTACAAAATATTTACCAAAAATTCGAAAATAAACCAATAATGCAGCTAGATAGATATTTTAATAACAAATTCAGAGAGGTATTCCACTTTTAAATCGGGTAAAAATTTCAAAAGTTTGGGCTAAGCAGTGCTGGGATCTGGTCACTTTTCTGCAAACCCATTTTTTGCAAATTTTGACAGGTCGGGGGTCATAAAAAACTACAAAATATTGACCAAAAATTCGAAAATAAACCAATAATGCAGCTAGATAGATATTCGAATAACAAGTTCAGAGAGGTATTCCACTTTTAAATCGGGTAAAAATTTCAAAAGTTTGGGCTAAGCAGTGCTGGGATCTGGTCACTTTTCTGCAAACCCATTTTTTGCAAATTTTGACAGGTCGGGGGTCATAAAAAATGACGAAACATTGACCAAAAATTCGAAAATAAACCAATGATGTAGCTAGATAGATATTTTAATAACAAATTCAGAGAGGTATTCCACTTTTAAATCGGGTAAAAATTTCAAAAGTTTGGGCTAAGCAGTGCTGGGATCTGGTCACTTTTCTGCAAACCCATTTTTTGCAAATTTTGACAGGTCGGGGGTCATAAAAAACTACAAAATATTGACCAAAAATTCGAAAATAAACCAATAATGCAGCTAGATAGATATTCGAATAACAAGTTCAGAGAGGTATTCCACTTTTAAATCGGGTAAAAATTTCAAAAGTTTGGGCTAAGCAGTGCTGGGATCTGGTCACTTTTCTGCAAACCCATTTTTTGCAAATTTTGACAGGTCGGGGGTCATAAAAAATGACGAAACATTGACCAAAAATTCGAAAATAAACCAATGATGTAGCTAGATAGATATTTTAATAACAAATTCAGAGAGGTATTCCACTTTTAAATCGGGTAAAAATTTCAAAAGTTATGGGCTAAGCAGTGCTGGGATCTGGTCACTTTTCTGCAAACCCATTTTTTTGCAAATTTTGACAGGTCGGGGGTCATAAAAAATTACAAAATATTGACCAAAAATTCGAAAATAAACCAATAATGCAGCTAGATAGATATTTTAACAACAAATTCAGAGAGGTATTCCACTTTTAAATCGGGTAAAAATTTCAAAAACTTATGGGCTAAGCAGTGCTGGGATCTGGTCACTTTTCTGCAAACCCATTTTTTGCAAATTTTGACAGGTCGGGGGTCATAAAAAATTAAAAAATATTGACCAAAAATTCGAAAATAAACCAACAATGCAGCTAGATAGATATTTTAATAGCAAATTCAGAGAGGTATTCCACTTTTAAATCGGGTAAAAATTTCAAAAGGTTTGGGATAAGCAGTGCTGGGATCTTGTTACTTTTCTGCAAACCCATTTTTTGCAAATTTTGACAGGTCGGGGGTCATAAAAAATGACGAAACATTGAC